GCTGGAGCACGTGCGTCTGCCGCTGCTGGCGCCCGCCTACTTCCTGGAGAAGGTGGAGGCCGATGAGCTGCTGCAGGCCTGCGGCGACTGCCGCCCGCTGCTGCTTGAAGCCCGCGCCTGCTTCATCCTGGGCCGGGAGGCGGGCGCAGTGCGGGCCCGGCCACGGAGGTATGGCCTCCTGCTTGCTAGCCTCGCGCCCCAGCAAGGCCTCGTGCCTTCCCCAGCTCTGGCTCCTTCACTGCCCCTCTTGAAATGTCACCGTTTCCTGGTACCTGGCGGTCTGCCTTGAAGAGTTAGACTTGTGAGGGCAGGATGCATTCCAATTCTGGCGCCATCCGTCATTCTGAGAAACGGGTCCTGTTGGGATCTGCTCTCTAGGGACCCACTGGCTAGAAAGACAAGCACGCAAAGGCACGAGAAACATCCACTCCACCAGTGCAAAGCCAAGCTCAGAGACTATAGATGGGATAGTCCACCATAGCCCTTCATACCTGAAGGACAGAAAACAGTGGTGATGCTGTCTCTAACTTTGAGCACAAGGCAGGGACACAAAATGGGTTAGGAAAGCACTTAGCCGGAGGGTATGGAAAATGCCGCGAGGCCAGAAACCCAAAGGGTCAATGGTGGAGAGCTTTGCAGGATGTCTGAGTCATCTTGCTCATGGCAATTCCCCACTAGGAGGGGCTGGGGAAGAACACAGTACCTTAGCTGTTAGGGATGGAGGATTCCTATCAGACCAAACTGAGCAAGACTTAGCCCATAATCCACGAGCCCCCTCCGTTTCCTCCTCTGTAAAAGGGGCAATAATCCTAACGACCATCTGAAGGATTAAAGGAAGGAAGGGGAAAGGCGTTGGGGAAAGTCTTTTTTCTGTAACTTAGAGGCCAGTAGACTAAGGTAAGGGTTAGTAACTCCCTTCTTATCCATAACCAGGGGTAAGGCTGGAAGTGATGGGTTCCAGTGCCAGGGTAGACAGAAGGGCAGCTGCATTGCATGGTGTGGTCCAAACAGCGAGAAACAAACGGGGCCTCGTGCTGGACGCCCAGAAGAAAAGCAAACTCAAGGGCTAGGGATATAGCTTAGAGGCTGGAGTTCTGATTCAGTAATCCCCAGCACCCTTTGCGGGAGGTGGAGGTGGCTTGGGAAAGGGCCGCAGAGTGCGTGTACAGTATTGGGTTTCTCCTCACCCCAGATTCATGGACCTAGCCGAAATGATCGTGGTCATTGGCGGGTGCGACAGAAAAGGGCTTCTGAAGCTGCCTTTCGCCGATGCTTACCACCCAGAAAGTCAGCGCTGGACCCCGCTGCCCAGCCTGCCTGGGTACACACGCTCTGAATTTGCCTCCTGTGCACTTCGAAATGACATTTACGTTTCTGGTGAGGGCACAACTGAAGAAGGAGCCTCCTGTCCCCCACTCCCCACATACACCCCTTATTTTCTCCTCCTTAGTCGGAAGATGGGGGCCGGCTTTCCCATAATCCCCTACAGCTAGTGGCTAAAACCGTGTGGTCCAGCAAAGCCAGTCAAGTCACCTGTGGGAAGTGTTGATGCTAGGCTTGGGACAGGAAGACCTGAAACTGTGACTTTGTTCTGACAAGAAGGCCACCTGGTCTTCAGCAGGTCATTCCTGGTCCCTAAACCTCATCCTCACTTCCTGTGTGGAAACTGTGTAATAATCCCAGCACCTCGGAGAGATGAGGATGGAAATGGAGTTGCCCTGCATCCCCCCTCCCCCATCACACATTCTTAAAGATTGTCTTGAGGGTACCCCTCCCAGTTTGGTTCCCGGAGCAAAACTGGTATCGCACCACTGGGCACCTGATGAACGACACCCTCCCTTCCCTGGATCTCTCTGATTCCCTGTCCTTCCTTTCAGAGCACACATCTGGGTGATAGGCCTAGTCTTACCCCAGCCCAGTGAGAAAGCCTTCCTAGGCTCTTACGCCTTCCCTTGGATTAGGGGTGTTTTGGCTCTTTGGGGACACTGAGAGTTAGTAACAGGGCCAGGGGAAGACAACTGCTTCTTTCCCCATAGGAGGTCACATCAACAGCAGAGATGTCTGGATGTTTAGCTCCCATCTGCACACCTGGATCAAGGTTGCCTCCATGCACAAGGGCAGGTGGAGGCACAAGATGGTGGCCCTGCAGGGACAGGTAGGAACGCTCTGGCTGCTGCCGCCCTGGGATCCAAGACATAGATGATCCGGGGGAAGGAGAGCTCTGAGGCTTCAGAAGATTAGGAAGGATTTGCTCAAAGATCATATGATAGTGCTAACAGTCATCACAGCAGCTGGGCTTGGTGGCTCACACATGTGATCTCAGCGCATGGGAGGCTGAGGCAAGAGGGTCATGAGTTTGAGGCCAGCCCAGGCTCCATAGCAAGACCCTGTCTCAACATCACCACCCCCTCCCTGATAAGTAGCCATCACTGTACGAATCCAGTTCAAACGGTTTGTGTCGTGAGACCAAACAGACCAGGTACTGAGTCTTGACTCTGCCGCTTACAAACAAAATACAGCCAGTTGTCTTTGTGAACTTCATTCTGCATCCAGAAACACACAGGAATCGGGTGCGTGGGTGGTTACCCTTAGTAACCACTCGAGTTATTACTAAGCGTCATCCGCAGCTGGAGTATTCCTCGTTCAGACACTAGTCTCCTCTCCCCTGCATTGAACAGGGAAAGGGGTTCCTGAACCAGGGAGCGAGGAACTTGGCCAGGCAGCGGCTGTGCTGAGATGCCCCTGGCGAGCTTACAGACTGAAGCGGTGGAGTGTTGGAGTAGCCTGTAGCACTGAATCCCAGGTTTCTGGCTTTTGTCTTCGCCCTCAGCTCTTTGCAGTGGGTGGTTTCGATGGCCTGCGGCGCCTGCGCAGCGTTGAGCGCTACGACCCATTCTCCAACACTTGGGAGGCCACGGCGCCCCTGCCGGAGGCCGTGAGCTCTGCAGCGGTGGCGCCCTGCGCTGGTCAGCTCTACGTGATTGGGGGCGCTGGGCAGGATGGTGTCAACACTGACAAGGTGGGCTCAGGCCTTGGGGTTAGGATTAGAGGCTGCAGGGAAACGGAGGGGCCTTCTGTGTGCTTGCTGGATAGATCTGGGCACTGGCGTGAGACAATCTAATTTTCTGAATCTAGTAAGCACTCCGGTAATCATTTCCCAAATTTCGATCAAGGAAATAAGATGAACTCAGCCAGGCGCACGCCTTCAATCACAACACTCAGGGGGCAAAGGCAGGCAGATCCCTGAGTTCAAGGCCAGCCTGGTCTACAGAGCGACAGCCAGGACTATAGAGAAACCCTGTCTTGAAAAAACCAGGCGGCGGTGGTGTATGCCTTAAATCCCAGCGCTAAGGAGGCAGAGGCAGGCGGATCTCTGAGTTTTGAGGAAAGCCTGGTTTACAGAGTGAGTTCCAGGACAGCAAGGGCTGTTACACAGAGAAACCCTATCTTTAGCCCTCCACCCAAAAAAATTAATAAAAATTAATTTTTTGAAAGATTGAGGCTGGAGGGATGGTTCAAAGGTTAGGAGTACTTGCCGCTCATGCAAAGGACCAGCCTTTAGTTCCCAGCACCCATGTCAAGTGCTCACAACTGCCATTCACTTTAACTACAGATCCGACACGTTCTTCTGGCCTCCGCAGCCACCCACAGACATAGAGACACACATATATAAAAATGATCTTATAAAAATTTGATGACAGAGGTACTATTGGTTAAAATGCTTTTCCTCCATTTAAAAAAAGCATCTATTATAAGCTGGGGTTATAGGATGCAGCAAGCTCTGGGTTTGATCCCCAGCACTGCATAAGCCAATCATAGTGGGATAAAAATTAGGGTAATCTGCCAGGTATTCCTAGAGACAGAGGTAAGAGGATGTGGGTGGAGGGCAGTTCTGCAGGTGAGGCTCGTTCACCACAGCTGTCTCTCCCGCAGGTGCAATGCTTTGACCCCAAGGAGGACCAGTGGAGCCTGCGGTCACCGGCACCCTTCCTGCAGCGGTGTCTGGACGCTGTCTCCCTGGAGGACACCATTTACGTGGTGGGCGGCCTCATGAGTAAGATTTTCACCTACGACCCGGGCGCCGACGTCTGGGGAGAGGCAGCTGAGCTGCCAGGCCCTGTGGTAAGTGGGGGCTCCTGTACATCCAGGAGTGTACTGGTATGCAGACCCACTCCAGAGGCTCTGGAGCTTACATAGGACTCCGCACTAGATAGCATCCCACAGTCCCCTTGCTTGTCCTCCCAGTGACAAATCACCTCCTTTCAGAGAGGTTGGCCCTGGGCCATCAGTTGGGCCGTAGTAAGTCAGTATCTAGGATCCAAGTGCTATGAATCTGGTCTACCACAAAGGTACCAACTAGCAGGGAGTAGGCAAGGGACTTGCTAAGTTCTTTGCTCCAGTGACATCAGCGGCCAGAGGTGCAAATCCTGGGTGTCCATAGCCCCTCGTTTCCCCCACCTGCTGCCCCAAGACTCCAGAGAAGCTATGGAGGTGTATAATTGGTGATCTCTGTCAGTTCTGGCCCTAGTTGATTCCAAGGCCTAGGTTCCCGGCTCTGAATAAGATTGCAGGATGGTGTTATTGTTTGTATGCATACGATCTTCTAGCCATGGTTTTTGGCTAAGACCAAGTGAAGGATATCCCTCATACCATGTCAGTGACGAGGATGGTTGCTCTTTGAACTGTGCAGATGAGACCTAAGACACAGAGCAGGTGACTTGTCTGGGTCATTTGTTTAGTAAGGGTCAGGTTCACCCAGTTATTTTGTCTCCATCCAGATTGCCTAGTCAGTCTGTAGGGCAAGGCTCTGCTATGTGGCAGAGTCCTTGGCTGCATCCCAGTTAACTGTCTGTCTGTCTGTCCACTCAGGAGAGCTGTGGCGTGACGGTGTGTGACGGGAAAGTCCACATCCTTGGTGGGCGGGACGAACATGGGGAAAGCACCAATAGTGTCTTCACCTTTGACCCTAGCAGTGGGCAGGTGGAAGCCCAGCCATCACTACAACGCTGCACCAGCTCGCACGGCTGCGTCACCATTGTCCAGAGCCTGAGCAGATGACGGGACAGCCTGAACCAGAGGAGGAGAAAATTGGGCATGGCAGTTGGCTCTTCCTGGAACTTCATGTGAATAGTCCTTTAACTTATTGCCCCTTTCCTTGTAGAAGTAAAACGTTTTTCAGAAGTTGGGTGTGTTCCAGCTCATGCCTGCTTTGTCTAGAGGAGGGATCCCAATCAGTTCCTTCCTGCTTTTGCAGTTTGCCAGGACTCCTGCCACTGTGGGCCACCAGACAGCCATACTTAGACTGCTGTATGAACAGGTGCATTACTGTTCTGGACACTGGGGAGTGCAATTGGCACCAGGAAGAAGGTGCCGGCAGATTCTGTCTGGTGAGGCTCTACTATTTAAGTTCCCCTCAACCTCTCCAAATGACGCTAATCCAGAAGACTTATTCGTCTACCTGATGGACCCTATTTCTTTCTGAATTTTATCCATTTACTATAGTGAGTGCATGTTGTATGTATACAGTGCATGAAGTACATGCAGAGGCCAGAGGACAACTCTGTGGAGTCTGTTCTCCTCTTCCATCTTTATGAGTTCCGGGGATCCCAACTCAGGTCATCGGTCAGCAAGGCAAGCACTTAACCAGCTGGGGCATGTCACCAGTCTTAATGCTAGGACATTGAGTATGAGGTCCCAATATAGCAGTTTTAGAGGAATGTCTGCATCCAGCTGTTAGCACACCCATTACCTCATTTCCTTTCATTACTGTAGACATGTAGTCTACTTTTTATTTTACTGTGTCATGGTACCCGTCTGGAGGTCAGATGACCAAACTGTGGAAGCTGGTTCTCTCCTTCTAACATGTGGGTTCCAGGGACCGAACTCCATCCAGCAGGCTTAGCTGCAGCAAGACCCTTTATACACTGAGCCATCTCTCCAGGCCCAGCATTTTTGTTTCAGGGTGAAAGGCACCACAGCGACAGGCCAGTGTGTACCTGGTGAGACACAACTGAGGCCACTGTACAGTTGGTATGGCCCAGGGCTCTAGAACAATGACAAAATGCTGGATGGGGAAAAGGAAAAAACACACCAGAGATCCGAGACTGTTTCCAGGGATGCTGCAGACCCTCGTTTGCACTCAGATTGCCTTTTGAGGAGGGGCCTGTTTCCCATCCTCAAAGCCCCAGGGCCATGTCTGGAGCTGGGGTTGGCCCATCACAGCCAGGCACAAAGGCTCTGGTCCCAGCTGAGCTCCAGTAACAGATGGGGAACTAGCCATCTGGATACAGCTGATAATGGCAAGCAGGGGGAGGAGTGCAGATCAGCACTGAGACTGCCTGTCCCCACCCAAGGCGACATGCAGGACAAAGCACCTGCAAGGGGTACCTATCACATGTATATCCAGGAACAATAGGAGCCCAACCAGGGCCAACTCTTCTAAAGGATATGCATGTCTTCCCTGGTGCTGGACACTTCATGAGGGCCAAGCAGTGACCAACCCCAAGCTTCCCACTCAGATTCCTCAAGGACCCTCTTTTTAAGTTTTATCCAATTACTATACAGTGTGACTGCTGTTCTGTGCATGCAGTCTGCTGGGACACAGGCAAGACAGGAACAGTGAAACAGCAACCGCTACAGCACCCTTCCACTTCCTTGTTGCATTTCTCACTAATCACAAATGTAACAAAAGTCTGGAAGTATCAGGTGGACTTGACCACCTCTCACCTGTCATGACAGGAAACCTCACTCATCAGATCAGATGAATGCAGGGGCGTACAGCAGCACTTCAGTCAGAGGGACGCTAGTGACACCTACCACGGCTAAACCCAGAGATCCACACAGTAGAGACAACTGACGCCCAGTTGTCCTCTGCAAATGGTGACTGGAGGGCAATATGTAGGCATTATTTTTACTAGAGATTGAACCCCGAACCTCAACCATACCAGGAAAGTGCCAAATTTTTAAAGCCACGTATTAAGTCATTTTAATTGATGTTTACAGACCTGTGAATGAAAATGTTTCAGTTGTGGAAAAAAATTTCAGCAGTTTAAGTGGCTAGAGAATATTACAGACTTAAAAGACTTTGAGAGAACCTCAAAGGAATAAATATACTCCCTTACACAGAAAATTCTATTGCTTGCTGTCAACCAGCTAGCAATAGAGGACCCAAGGGGTTACAATCTCACTTTATACATACTACAGCTTTGATTTAAAAAAAAGTTTTTAGCATCAAAATCTAATAGCCCTAAGGAAGAAACAGTACTGGAAACCATCAAGCAGGCCGAGGCAGGCTGGCCTGAGTTCAAGGCCTGTCCAGTCTACAGAGAGGGTTCCAGGACAGCCAGGAATACAGGGAAACCATCAAGTAGAAGTAGGTGGCTTGAGTTGCAGACCAATCAGGAATGTGACCCTGCCTCAAAACCAAAACCCACAGGGTCATGCTTCTGCGCTTCTGCTCAACAGCACCACCTTGTGCAGGCACCAACACTGTACACCTGCCCCCAAGATGTACGGAATTAAGTTAGTTAACAGCTGCTGGCCCTTTGGACTCGTCAGGCTGCACCCCAAGTCTTCTCTCACCAGAGTATAGATTTCCAAGCTAACTTTAATCCCTTACAAAAAACACATCAATAGTAAATGCTTTTAAGATATAATAAATATGCTGCCAATAATTTCTGCATTTATCATATTTTTCAAAACATAACGGCTAAGTACAAGACTTAGAAATGTGGATTCATTCTAAAGACAGCTTTCTATTTCAAACTTCTCTGAGTTCAAAGGCATAAGAAATTCTTTTTATTTTAGGAAAGCTGAGGTTAAGACACCACTGCATGGTAAAACACAGGCCAATCTACTTTCTACTTTCAGGGTAAGTGTCACAGGCCTTCACAGAAAGCAATTACCCACCAAGCCATCTTGTTGGCCCACCCAAGATTTCCTACATACCAGGGGGAAGGTCTCACACATGTAGCCCCCCAGACTGAGGACATCGCTCAACAATACAGCACACACTTACTGTGTACAAGGACCTGGGTTCCATCATAAGCACCAAAACCTAACTGTTCTAACCCTGAACTGTGTAACACAAGGTAGTGCCCTGCATGTAGCCAGCCATCACAGACCCAAGACTTCATTGGTCAGCTCTGCTCCAGCCCTCCAGCTTAAACCAACAGGATAAGCAACACTTCTCAGGCCAACATAGCTCAGTCAGTTGAACACTGGACACAATCCAGTCAGGCCTTATGTTTTTGTGCAAGATTTTATTAAACGTCTGTACAGGACAACATCCAGCCTCCAGATGCAGTTGCCAAGACCCTGAAACCAAATAAAACAATGTAAGTAAGAAAAAGCTCATCCGAGTACTTTCATTTATTACAAAGTGTACAGTCCCATGCAGGGTTTGCCTTAAACATACTCCAGCACACGACTGCTAAAGGGTGGATTGAGTAACAAGAGTATCTGGAAACTCTTGAGCAAAGGCAGTGAAGGTAACACTCATCCTGACAGGTTTGTGGGTTGCCCACCACATTCCAACTCGTATCCTCCCACAGTTAGTTCTGACAGTAATTACACACACTCAAGTATCAGAAGTAACAACAACAACAACAAAAACCCCAAACAGGTCTGTGTGGCCCAGGAAGGTCCTGCAGACATACCCATTATGCTGTAGGCACTGGCTGGGGCATGGCAGGCGGCTCTGGCTTCCCGCCCTTCTGCTCTGAGATGGGGGTGGTGGGCAAGATTTCATCCTTTGGCTCCACAATGCTCACGTGATCGGGCAGAGGCTTCTTGGGGCCGATCTTACCACTGGGATCCCAGGGCAGCATGATCTTCACTTTGATGCCCAGCACACCTAAAAGACACCAGGGCTAAAACTGAGCTTGGATTTTACCAGCTGCCACCACACAACAGGAAAGCAAGGAGACGGTGATACCTATTCAAAAATGTGGCCCTTCTCAGACAAATGCCTCTAAATCAATCAGTGAGCAGGACACGTTTGCCAGAGGAACCATACACAGCACCACAGAACATAGCGCTGAGAAGGCCCAAGAGCAGGGCGTGACCTTTCTGACTCGTCATCGTGTCATCACCGAAGGGCTCACGGACGGATCTGATCACCCCAACAACGCACTTCTTCACAGCCCCGTAACCAACGGCTCCTTCCACAGTCGACTACCCCAACACAAGACTGTGGAAACACAGCCGTCTGCTAGCCTACCCTAGGCATTCCGAACTACCCAGCACTATTTAGCTCAGCTACAGAGCTTAGGCCCCGGCTCCCTCCCCAGCACAGCTGCTTACCCTGTCTGAGGAGCACATGGCGCACGGCGGTGTCAACATAGTAGTTGACAGGGTCTCCACTGTGGATCATCAGACCATCCACGAACTTCATGGACTTGGCCCTCTGTCCTCGGAGCTTCCCAGACACCACAACCTCACAACCCTTGGCACCGCTCTCCATGATGAACCGAAGCACACCATAGCAGGCCCTTTGGAAGAAACCCATTGGTTATTACGAAAGACACAACCTGCCTGTCCCTCCCACCAAGTTTAAAAGATTTGGATATCACTTTAGTAACTCTCAAATGGTAGCTTCGGGAAACCACCAGACTTCAGTTAAAACAACAATTTGCTGCCCAGATGCTTTTCCGCCTTGGCTTGTGTGTGAGAATCAGCTCTGAGGAATGAACTCTATATCCTTATACGCAGGTCCTTCTCCAAGCCATTATCTGGGCTGGCCAAGCTTAAGCGTCTTTAATTATTTATCTACTATTTCTATGGGCACATAATTTCTATGTGTGAGTGCAGGGAGACCAGAGAACAATTATGGAGTCATGTTTCCATTACATGGGTTCAGGGGAACTGAACTCGGGTTGTCAGGCTTGCCTTTGTCTTGGTGACAAGCACTTTTGTGTCAACTATCTCTGCTGTTAGGAGAGATACTTTTTGGAGACTAGGTCTCACTACATAGTCCTGGCTGTTTGCTATTTGCAGAGATCCACCATATCTGGCAGGAACAGGTTATTTGGGCGGGGAGGGGGCTTGCTAGGTGTCTTCCAGGGGCCATCCTAGCTGAGAAGCATAGAGAC